TGATTTTCTCAATATTTAGATTTTTTTGCACCCTCAGATTCCAGATTTTCAAATAGTTGTATCTCAGCCAAATATTGTACTATCCTAACAAACTGATTTATTCAGCTTTCAGATGATGTATACATCTCAAAAACGGACCCTTATGACTGGTTTTGTGGTCCAGGGTCACAAATATGTTTGATATTTAAATGTTTGACTTTTTTTTTTAACACATTGGAATCGAAAATTGGAATAGATAAGAATCGGAATCAATAAGCAGAATCAGAATTGGAATTGATAAAATTCAAACGATACCCAACCCCTACACACACGTCTGGATCAAACACACATCAGAGATGGGCTCTGTGCCATGCAGACTGAAATAGCTGGTGGTTTGGTGACATTATCTCTAGACCAGGGGTGTCCAAACTACATCCGGCCCCCTTTAGGAAAAGTTTGGATACCCCTGCTCTAGACGATTTGTGATGAGGACTATGGTAACATCTGTAAGAATGAGCTGAAAATAAGCACATCAAATGCCATTTCTATTCGAAACATGTTAGCTGTCATGTTATATTTTATAAAGAAAACTCAGAGGCTGTCTGATTTTTGAGAACTTGAAAAACAGATCTGAGCTACAGGACCAGCAGGAAAACACCCCTGGCTGCACAGTTTGGCGAAAATATAATTGCAAATTTTCTGATTTAAAAAAATAAATAAATAATGTAAAGCCCCAGTTGGGTTGCACAATTTGTTCAAAATGTTGTGAGTAAATAATAATAATAATAATAATAATAAATACGAACTAATTAATTAATTAGTTACTTAGTTAATTATAATAAAATAAGAAAAACATACCATTGTAATATTTTGCTGTAAAATAAAATCAGTTGAAGGAAAATAATGTGATAATTGCATTTTACAGAACAATTGTGAAATTACAATACTAATATTTATGGCCGTCTTAATTCTTCATATTTATATTCATATTCTTAATACTTCTACACAAACACTCTTAAGAACTGCACTATTTGGTAAAAACTATTATTAGTATTATTATTTCTGATTAAAAAGCGATTTACAGCACAATTTGGCTAAACGTTTTTTACAGTACAACAGTAAAATTACTGTTCTAATATCTATGGCTGTCTTAATTAATTTTTCAGTTTTAATTAAATTAATCATGCAGCCCTTACCTTACCAACAGGTTCTAATATCTATGGCTGTCTTAATTAATTTTTCAGTTTTAATTCAATTAATCATGCAGCCCTTACCTTACCAACAGCTTGTGTGTGTGTGTGTGTGTGCATGTTTATGTGGTTTATGAGGTTATGAGGACACAAATTTGTATAATAACATGGGTATGACATAGGTATTACAACGAGAAGGTGATTTATGAGGACATTTTCAGTGTCCCCGTAATTCAAAAGGCTTATAAATAATTCAGAATGAGTTTTTTTGAAAATCTGAAATTGCACAAAGTTTCCTGTGAGGGGTAGGTTTAGGGGTAGGGTTGGTGTAGGACAATAGAAAATACGGTTTGTACAGTATAAAAACCATTACGCCTATGGAGAGTCCCCATAAACCATAAAAACAAACC